TTTCTGTTAATTCATCGGATACCTGGCTGTACTTCACAAGCATTGTTCCGGGGCTTGAACATTGAAAACATGACCGCTGTTATTGAGGTGACCTGTTTCACTATATGTTTATCTCAGTTATTCACACGAAGCTTTTGTACTGAGTGTACAAATTACCAACTGACGCCATTACCTGGCTTTGATGATAAATTTGTGAACCAGAACATGATGTGGGAGAACCAGGTTTTAATCGGAATGGAGTGCGTCGGTAAGTGTTTCTTTGACCATCGCTGTCACAGTGTCCAGATAGACAGGAACACGGGTATCTGTACAGGTCATGCAACAGCCTTTGCCACCCCTACCAAGATCTACCCTCCTGCCCTATCACGGGAGGGCTCCCGACTCTACCTACTGCCAAGAGGTAAATATATGAATTATATACGTAACCTTCTCACCTGTTGGTACGCGATTATGTTTCTAGATTTGTCAGCACCATACCCGTGCTCGTGGGAGGAAAGTTCATAAAATGCAACAAGGCCGTAGTTAATTAAATTCGTACAAGTATCACTTGTTCCCAACTTGTATTTTCATGATTCAAATATAACTGAAGATTGTTGACGTCATTGGACAATTGTTGTTTTCGGAGACGGCAGTCGTGATCAGTGCATTTATAACTAAAGAGGAGCTCAAATGACTTAATAATAATGAGAAATAAGAAAAACCCATTATACTCGTATGTGTGTCATACTGATTTTACGAATGTAAGAAATTCACAAAATAATCGACCCGTGAATATTCCGGGGTGGACTAGGTCTTCAGCAACCAATACTTGCAGTAAAAGGCGACTATGCTTGTCGTAAAAGGCGACTAACGGGATCGGGTGGTCAGGCTCGCTGACTTGGTTGATACATGTCATCGGTCCCAATTGCGTGGATCGATGTTCATTATATCAATCACTGGATTGTCTGGTCCAGACCCGATTATTTACAGACCGCCGTCATATAGCTGGAATATTGCTGAGTGCGGCGTTAAACAACAAACCAACCAACCAACCTCAAAATCATCACACGAGGCGAAGTGTTCTCCTACATGTTTCAGTTTTATCTTCAGGAGAAGTGATTACAATTACAGATTATATTATGACGCCACTATATGATGACGTCACGTTGCACAAATATTGTGACAGGGCGTTGATATGATTTTTCATTAGTGGCTTCACAATGACAATGGTAACATTCACAATAAATACAAATTTGCTTCATATACATTGCGTTGCCTATTTAGACACAACTTTGAGTGAAAGAGATTTCTTCAGCTTTATGCCCAAGGCGGTTTTAAAGTAAGGGATTATCTTAAACTTTATTTTCTTCCCTGTTGCGCATTTGTCGATTGAGCGCTTAAGTGGATTCACCTTGTTTTGAGGTCCTTTATCTGTTGTTTATGGACCTGCATTCTTTCCCTTATGCACAGCATTTGTCCAATTCATTCTTCATGACACCCTTGCCATATAATAGCATAAATAATATATTTTGCGGATCAGTCGGTTGGGGGCACATGAAACAGTTGTTTCCTGTTTTTGAATTTCATACATGAAGTTTCAAAAAAATATTAACAAGTTCAACATTTTCCCCATTGACATTTTGAGACACTGAATTTTGCAGACCTAGTACAAGCCGAATTTGGCGCGTGTTCTTTTTGGCGTTTACTTTTTCTCATTGTCACATTAGCCAATATTCGATTCATTTTAATATCAGTATTTAAATTGAACACCCTACTCATTTGACACTGATGCTGATAACTGCAGGACCTATATGTGTAACACATCGGTTGAGTAATTTTTTGGACATAGAAATTAAACATCGTATTACAAATCTTCACAGTTATATTCTATATACATTGGTATCCCTAAATTAGTTACCTCAATAAATGTAAGGCAAAATAAGACTTTTGATGTCAAAAGGTTATATTCTAATATTCCACGTGATTTAGGGGTTGATGCTGTAATATTCTAGTAAGACGAATATTCAGAATTGCTCGTGGAAAGTTCATATGGAATAACAATACGTTAATTTTGTTATAATTTTGATTTTAATTAATTGACAAATAAAGGGTACAGTAATGGGAACTAAAATGGAAAGCAGTTGGAAAAATTGCAAGATCTCATGTTCTCAGTTTCAATCGGTAGGCTAATGATATAAAGCTCTATCTAGGATTCAAACCGGTTAGTGAGACATTGATGACATCAAAAGTTGGATGACGACAACATTTCTCTAACTGAATGATGACACAGCTGTTTTATCATCAGTTCAAAACTAATGCTGCCCAAAGCTTCAACTTCCCAAAATATGGAGGGAGTTCTCGTCAACCATGCAGACAGAATCTAACTGTGATCATTGATTCAACATTCGCGTCTGCTATTTGTTTGCTGTTTAACGCCGCACTCAATATTCGAACTATATGACGGCGGTATGTAAATAATCAAGTCTGGACAAGACAGACAGTGTTTGACATCATGAGCATCGAGCTACTCAATTGGGGTACGATGACAACCAAGTCAGCGAGCCTGACCACCCGATCCCGTTAGTCGCCTTTTAAGACATGCATTGGTTGTTGAAGACCAATTCTAACCCGGATGCAAACATGCAGACCACAAGATAAGGAATGTCAAATAGGTCAGTGGCCCAGTTCTCTAAGGCGCCGCGATTCGCTGTGCAGAGTTGCGTCCCTTGGGCACGCCAGAAACCTTTGATTGTGGGTTCGAGTCTCGGTTCGCCCCGATTATGTTTCTAGGTTTGTCAGCACCGTACCCATGCTCGTATGGTTTCACGGAAGTGGTAAACGTTTGAGACCTGCATCACTTCGAGCTTTCCTCCCACATTAAGCTGACGCGCCGCGATATAACTGGAATACTGTTAAAAGCGGCGTTAAACCCAACTCACTCACTCCAGCGTGTGCAAAATACACCTCCCAGGCTCAACACACGATGTGGAATACGCGACCACGTAACAACGGTCCACACTGGCTACCAGTGAGACAGAAAATCATTATCAAGCTGCTGGTATTTGTATACAAATCCCTCAATGGCCTGGTCCAAGTGTACCTACAAGAACAAGATTTTATCGAATTGCATGTTTATTCGCAATATTGGTGACTTGATATAAACAGAGCGACTATGATAACGTGAATAACAAACGACTTGAAATAACTGAATTATGATGTTATTCTCTGAATTGCAGCAATTAAAACTTGTATGGTTGGCCAGATGAATCTGGATATATTTAAAGTCACAATTGTACATATAATGACTATAAATGTAGCAATAATGCCATCAATTTCCGGTTGCATTTCTACAAATATTAAGCCCTTTTCATAGTTACTTTGATCTTAATTAAACCATTTATCGATGAATACTACCTTTAGAAATACTATGGAAGCGTATTAGATGATGCTTTCATCTACGTAGATGATGCTTTTATATTTAGGCATTGGCACTACCATGCTTCCGTAAAATACAGGCGAACCAATCCTTGCATACCGCTTCAGATCCATGTGAAGATGATTCAGTGAAAACATTGAAGAGAACATATAAATCAAATTAATTAAATTTAAATCATACTCTGTGGTAATTGCTAACTGTTGGATTTATGATATGAATAATTCTGAGGTAATGAGGTTTTAACGATTGTAATGGTTAATTTATTCCAAATAGTCATTGTGTGACTTGGTGAAAGAAGTTCCACATGGCCGGAGAATGATAACTGTTTATGTATACACAACGCAAACATGGAAACATTCATTGATTCACATAACATTAACTATAGGATGTAGGACCATGTCAACTTCCATACTTGATCCTTAAGCAACAAAATCAGCTGTTTCGATCTAGATGTTTTATAATGGTCTGGCGTAATGGTAAAGTACACAATACCTTAGAATGTATGTCTAATTTAATGTGAGTGTATAGGTCCCCAGCAGCCTCTGCTCGTCGTAAGAGGCGACTAAATGGATCTGTGTGAGGGTTCTTGAACGACGGCATGATACAATGCTCATAATATCAGCCGTAGATTGTCTGGTCCAGACAGCCGTCGTTTGATAGCCGGAATAGTGCGTGTGTGGTGTTCAATAACAAAGAAACGGCTTTATGATTGTGATAAAACAGTGATAAAAATGCGTAGTTAACTCTTCGGGGACACAGGTGGCCTAGTTGGCAATCTCATTTCCCCTTGTACCACAATATTATCCTTTTCTTTGCAATAAATACATGTCAGTCTTACGTCTTTGTTACAAAAGGGTACACAATTATACCTAGATCTTCTAAAAATCCTCCTTGAACTCTTTTCTTTGTGATTCGTTAGTTGGTCTTCAACGTCAAATTTGTATCTTGGAAAGTTACTGTGATAAGTAGTGACTTTCCATTAATTTCAACAAAACGTTATTTGAATTTATATAAAGATTCTAAATTGAAAGTATTCTATCAGATGTAAAGAAAAGATATCATTTATATTTATGTAAACGTATACTTTGGGTTCGATCGTTCACTTCAAATAGTATTGAATTTAACTATTCATCATAATCACATGAGTCAACGTGTTTGATCTCAGGGTAAAACTGACAGTTCATCTATCTCTCTCATTTTATCTCAGTAGCCTAGAAGCTGAAATCACTTAAGCAGAATTGCGTCCCTTTCCTATGACTGGATCAGCTTGTCGTGACGAATACTCTGATACAGCTAAAATAGTCACGCAGTCATCGATGCTCGTCGTTATCAATAAGTGCAGTGGCATGAATATCACGTCTTGCTACTTTCATAGTAAAAGCAAAGAAAACATAACTGTCCATGTAAATACATGTCCGCACCAGCGAACGCCAACATCAGTAAAACGGTCATGGAACCATGGATCCAGATTTACAGGGTACGATCACATAACTACAAATCCTGTTGTTCTTGGATTGACAGTATTGACTGTCTTCTTCTGCCAGTACAATCATCCCTCCGGATGCTACATCATACATCATACACTTCGTATTGACTCATCGGAGGAATGGGAATCGGCCAGAGAGCGGCTTATACCATAAAGTCTGCTGCTGCTGTTGTTGGTGGTGGTCGAAGTAGAGCTGGGGTGGCTCTCTCAGGATGTGACCCAGCTTTAAGTCATGCATATACACATCGACGTCCCCTTGGATTTGTTATTCATTTGCTCATCTTTCTGGTCTGTGTGAATTTTAAAGGAATTGTTGTTACAGGAATTGATTTTCCTGCTGCTTTGTTTCGTGACAAGTGACGTTCAGACAGCATTCAGACTTTCTGTTTATTCATCGGATACCTGGCTGTACTTCACAAGCATTGTTCCTAGACTTGAACATAGAAAACATGACAGCTGTTATTGAGGTGACCTGTTTCACTATATGTTTATCTCAGTTATTCACACGAACCTTTTGTACTGAATGTACAGATTACCAACTCACGCCATTACCTGACTTTGATGATAAATATGTGAATCAGAACCTGGTGTGGGAGAACCAGGTTTTAATCGGAGTGGAGTGCGTCGGTAAGTGTTTCTTTGACCATCGCTGTCACAGTGTCCAGATAGACAGGAACACGGGTGGCTGCACAGGTCATGCAACAGCCTTTGCCAACCACACCAAGGTCTACCCTCCCCCCACATCACGGCTGGGCTCCCGACTCTACCTACTGCCTAGAGGTAAATATATAAATTATATACGTAACCTTCTCACCTTTTGATAGGGATGATTTGATAGTTCTTAGTGTATGGAACAGAGGATGAAGCTGATATTGCATCCATGGTAATATCGAAATTTATCATGAAGCCTATGAAAGGGTTCCCAAACAAAATGGGAGACATAGATACTGTATTTAATACCCAGAGGTTTCCAAATAGTGTATGGAACAGAGGGCCAGAATAAAGCTGAAAGTGCTTTCATGTCAATATGACACTTAATGAAGTATATAAAAATATTCCAAACAAAATGTTGAATCTTTTCTAGTTAATCAGAGTTGACATAGGTACTGTTATCCCAGACTTCATGTGCGTGTTCGAGAATAGGCCGTTTGAAAACAATGAGAGTTTAATTAAGAATTGACTTTCACAAGCTCCGACGTTCATGCAGTTTGCCCTCACTCCATGAAGGTTCATACTCCAATTAACTCGCACAAAGTGAAAGTCAATTCTTTTAAAAGAATTATCACTATTTTTGCCTCAAAGGACGTAGACGTTCATCAATACGCCATTATATTTAGTACCTTAGATTTATTTCCTCAGATGCATATGATACCTTATATAAAATATCTATTTTTCTTACCAAAGCTCATCAACTTAGGGTAAATAGTAAAAATTCCACTGCGAATAAGTAAAAAAAAATAAAAAAATAAAAAAATAAAAATTTACATAATGTAAATTTTCCCAGTTTGTAAATATGTCATTTTGCGCAGGCTTTATATATTCCTGCATATGTATGTATTTTGGGCCAGTGGCCTATTATTGAATAAATTGTCTGTCTGTCTGTCTGTCTGTCTGTATATTTAGTACGTGTAACGTGTAACGTGTAACAGCCATACAACAACCAGCTGTATCGCGGAATAAAATAGTTCCTCAAAACTAGAGGTGACATGAGCGTATGTATGAACAACCTGCTCTTCAGGCACATCACAACACATGTATTCATATCATCATTAGACGAGAAAGGTCTGTTAAGAACTACCTCAGTAAGTCAGTTACAATGAAAGCGCGTCGTAATACATTTACATCAAGTCGTAGACGTCAAAATGGCCGACACGATAAACGTGACGGGAGATATTTCCGAAGATGTTAATGAACCTGTGGTTATTACAAGTGTTAGTCCTCAATTGGCCGATCACTGAAAGGTGATTGTAAAGATGTGTCAAATAGATACTAAGGGACTTTCATTTATTGCTGTAGACTGCCACGGATCGAGTCGATACGGTTGTTTGGATGTGCATTTCTTCGTTTTGTTCTGAAGGATGGGTTGTAGCGAGGATATCCTTAAACGGATATTCAATCAAACCTTTTTACTTATCCCAATGTATACAAACACGCTGAGTTCAAGATTAAAGGGTTTAAATGAGAAGCACCACTTCTGTACGTATTCGTGCTGGGGCACTCCCAGGGGTAAGGAATGTGGAAGTTGTCCGTCAGTGTTTACGTAATTTCAAGAACACGGTCCCGTGAAAAGTGAGTGAGTGAGTGAGTTAATATTTAAAGTCACATCGGCACTATTTCAGCCATATCGTGACTTGAACAAGTTAAACATTTATATTATATATAAAAACCTGCCGCCGAAGGACAGTACAACAACTAGCAATATATCACAGAATATTATTTTAAAAACTAGTTTTAGAGCAATAAAATGATCAAATTATATCAGACGACACAGTATAAAAACGGGCTGTAGATCGCCAGCAACCAAAGTTCGCCCACCATACTAGGGACCATGGGGACTTACGGTACTTCTGCTACCTACATGGTACCCCAGCAGGATTTACACCATCCCTCTGGCCCGTGAAAAGCGTATGCACATCAAATTGTGTCGCCTCGTCCATTGGAATAGCTGTATATCATGTAAACTTCAAATTAAAAAAATTAAATAATGTTGGTCTATTGAGTATTTATTTAAGTTTTCGTTAAGAAAATATCTTTTTAGGTGCATAGTTGCGTATTCGTCAATATGGGCATACTATTTCATGTCTTGGGAAAACATTACACCGAGGTGTTTATGAGTATTCGAGTGATGATGTGATGTATTTTTATGAACCAAATTAATTTTAAGGTCGTGTGTTGCATAACGTCATAACAGTGATGCCTGTCTTGGTTACAATAAGCGAGATGTTGCTCATCTCGGCATTAATCACTGCAGTAGGGTTCTTGAAAACATGATTCCTGCATTCAGACACCGAGTATTCCACAACATGAATATTAATTTGTCAAGTTACACTCATCAGAGGGGTACACACAGTACGTGATTTATGCTACCAGTTGTCGGACTTTAATTTCGATGGCTGAGTGGTTAGATCGCTGAATTTGTATGCTGGCGATTTGGATATACCTACATATCAAAATTCATATCATATTGATTATGTGCAGTATATCGAGTTTCAAAAACACGTGGTATAGTCACTACAAGTGCAATCAAAAATGAGACAGAAATATTAGATCCTACTGTATATACATAATTTGAATGAAGTACATTGTATGTTGAATACTGTAGTAGAGTATTATCACCGTCCTTTAGATGGTGAATAGAAGATTTGGAACCTTTGCCTTTTATTTTCTGAACCATGTTCCACACCTTGGACATAGGTGTACGGTAATTTATTTTGGAGACATAGTTCCTCCAAGACTGACGCTTATTTTGTTTATCTATATTATGGACTGTAGGATGTCGGCGAAAATATTTTTCTGCTTTCTTCCTACATTTTCTGGCCTGTTTGCAGTCATTAGTAAAACATGGTTTACGAATATGGGGATTCGCAGAGGACTTAGGAATTGTTTGGCCAGCAATGCCATTGAGTAAGTCCGAAAACAGCTGTATCGGATCTAGAATATTCTTGAAAAGGTCATGTTTTATGATGTCAATACATAGTATCTCATGTTATGACTAATTTGCTTTGGTAAAGTTCCACCTTGATGAAGGTGGATAATAAGTAGGGGTTAAGAGTTTTAAGAATGGTTGGGAGGTCATCATGGACCAACCATTCAATTCCATTGTACAAGTCTGTGAGTGACGGATCGAGGACAGAATACGTCCCAGTGGCTGGATGTAAATATGTGGCAGATTCATCATTAAATATACATAGTTTGTTGTCAGAAATAAATTCCTCATTGATTTTCCCTTTATAATTTGTATTTGCACTTCCCCACAGCAGGCTGTGTCACCCATGAAAATGCAGGGCTTTGGACGTTGATCGTATAGATTTTGTAGATCAGACTGTTAAAGATCCGAGGAAGGAGGGATATATACTCAACAACAAAAGTTTCTGTGACACCAATATTTCAGTGTATTTTTCAAACAAGTAAAGTTTGGTGTTCAATATTGTAGTTCATGTATGGAATCAAGTCACAAAAACGCAACTGCTAAAGAAAAGCATGCAGTCCATGCAAAAGTTGACTTTTATGCAAGCCCATGCATTTCACTACCCAAGAATGGGTATAAAAACAAGTGCGTTAACGGGATTCCATATGCATTGTTTAGCATCGTACTGACAACAACCACTCAGAAAAACAACAAAATTAAATTATTCAACATTACGAAATGCCAAGCCTGTCCGAAAATGAGCGTCTGCGAGCCATTGGTATGCTTGAAGCAGGATCGAGTCAACATGATGTTGCAAGACAATTTAACGTCCACAGAAACACCATTTGGTGTTTATGGCAACGTTGGCAACAGACGAATGCAGTCAGAGGCCATCCTCGGAGTGGCAGGCCACGCGTAACCAATAATTGACAAGACAAATGGATTCAAACAACAACACCTAAGAAATCGATTCCAGCCAGCAACAGTGACTGCAAGAAGCATCCCTGGCCTTCGACGAATATCTTCACAAGCCGTACGTCGCCGCCTCAGATGTGCAGGGATTGTCGCCAGAAGACCCGCCAGACGTCCCATTTTGACAGGAAACCACCGTCAAGTACGTCCACACTGGTGCAGACAGCGTCTACGCTGGACTGCCATGCAGTTGGGACAGATGGTTCTATTCACTGACGAGTCTCGTTTTCACCTCAGCCACAGCGATGGACGGATTCGAGTGTACCGACGTCGAGGTGAACGTTACGTCAATCATTGTGTCATGGAAGAAGATCGGTTCGGGGTCGGCAGCGTTATGGTATGGGGTGGGATTACAGCAAGACAGAGGACCCGTTTGATAGTAGTAGAGGGAAATCTCAATGGACAGCGCAACCGCGACGAGATAATCGGCCCTGTTGTTCTACCGTTTTTGCGTCGTCATGGCCAAGGCATTACCTTTCAACATGACAACGACCCGTCCCACATTGCTCGACTTGTTCAGGACTCTCTTCAACAAAACAACGTGAATGTCATCCCCTGGCATGAGACAAAGATGTGTTGCTTGCATCGCAACCAGAGGTGGACATACACGCTATTGATTTGTAAATTGACATTTTGGCATGTTCATGGTTTTTTTTAATGAAATCACGCATTTTCTGAAGTCAGTATGGTACATTAAACCATTTGAACACTTACAGGATTCTTTTATCTGTTGCAAACCGAATTAGTTTCAGATTTGGTAAAAAACTTACCTTGCCATTAATCTTATTCAATGTCACAGGAAATTTTGTTGTTCAGTATATAGGAGCACAGCGTAAAAGCAATGTGCAGAGTCAGACGAACAGCAACAGTTTGAAGATTGGTATTAAGAGGAACAGGACTATGCACGATCCCCTCTCGCACCAAGATGGTTGATCCTCCTGTTGCTTTATCTCCCGGAGGAGTGAGTGAGTGAGTGAGTGAGTTAATATTTAAAGTCACATCGGCAATATTTCAGCCATATCGTGACTTGAACAAGGTATAGCATATATAAAAAACTGTCGTCAAAGGACAGTACAACAACTAGCAATATATCACAGACGGCTAAGGGGATCGGGTGGTCAGGCTCTCTGACTTGGTCGATGCATGTCATCATATCCCTTTTGCGTACACTAATGCTCATGATGTCAGTCACTGGATGGTCTGGTACAGACTCGATTACATGCAAACTGCTTTCATATAGCAGGATTATTGTTGAGTGCGGCGTTAAACAACAAACAAACAAATCGTGTACACTCATTTCCAAGTCCTCGTAGTCCCTTGTTGCTTAAAGGTGAGGAGTACTTTCGGCACTGTTATTTGGTTGAATTTCGTTTTTATATAGAACAATATGGGCACTGAGTGAGATCCTCTCTATTCGTAGAACACAAAGTAGCAGCTACATGGGGATCTTCAGGAGTGAGATCATCAGTTAGACCCTCTCTATTCGTAGAACACAAAGTAGCAGCTACATGGGGATCTTCAGGAGTGAGATCATCAGTTAGACCCTCTCTATTCGTAGAACACAAAGTATCAGTTACGTGGGGATCTTCAGGAGTTAGATCATCAGTTAGACCCTCTCTATTCGTAGAACACAAAGTAGCAGCTACATGGGGATCTTCAGGAGTGAGATCATCAGTTAGACCCTCTCTATTCGTAGAACACAAAGTAGCAGCTACATGGGGATCTTCAGGAGTGAGATCATCAGTTAGACCCTCTCTATTCGTAGAACACAAAGTATCAGTTACGTGGGGATCTTCAGGAGTGAGATCATCAGTTAGACCCTCTCTATTCGTAGAACACAAAGTAGCAGCTACATGGGGATCTTCAGGAGTGAGATCATCAGTTAGACCCTCTCTATTCGTAGAACACAAAGTATCAGTAACGTGGGGATCTTCAGGAGTGAGATCATCAGCTGGACCCTCTCTATTTGTAGAACACAAAGTAGCAGTTACGTGGGAATCTTCAGGAGTGAGATCATCAGTTAGACCCTCTCTATTTGTAGAACACAAAGTATCAGTTACGTGGGGATCTTCAGGAGTGAGATCATCAGTTAGACCCTCTCTATTTGTAGAACACAAAGTATCAGTTACGTGGGGATCTTCAGGAGTGAGATCATCAGTTAGACCCTCTCTATTTGTAGAACACAAAGTATCAGTTACGTGGGGATCTTCAGGAGTGAGATCATCAGCTGGACCCTCTCTATTTGTAGAACACAAAGTATCAGTTACGTGGGGATCTTCAGGAGTGAGATCATCAGTTAGACCCTCTCTATTTGTAGAACACAAAGTATCAGTTACGTGGGGATCTTCAGGAGTGAGATCATCAGTTAGACCCTCTCTATTTGTGGAACACAAAGTATCAGTTACGTGGGGATCTTCAGGAGTGAGATCATCAGCTGGACCCTCTCTATTTGTAGAACACAAAGTATCAGTTACGTGGGGATCTTCAGGAGTGAGATCATCAGTTAGACCCTCTCTATTTGTGGAACACAAAGTATCAGTTACGTGGGGATCTTCAGGAGTGAGATCATCAGTTAGACCCTCTCTATTTGTAGAACACAAAGTATCAGTTACGTGGGGATCTTCAGGAGTGAGATCATCAGCTGGACCCTCTCTATTTGTAGAACACAAAGTATCAGTTACGTGGGGATCTTCAGGAGTGAGATCATCAGCTGGACCCTCTCTATTTGTAGAACACAAAGTATCAGTTACGTGGGGGCATTCAGCTGTCAGGCCCTCTCTATTTGTAGAACACAAAGTATCAGTTACATAGCGGCATTCAGCAGCGAGACCCTCTCTATTCGTTGAACACAAAGAAGTAGTTGTCTCATATGTTTTAGCATCACATGCATGTTATCGCAAAATAGGAAAAGTGTTCTTAATCCGCAAATGAACAGTTTGTAATTGTGTACATGAAGTAGGCAATGTCATCACGAAAGAGCCTATCTTTGTACGATTCCCATGGTGAGGAGAGCCGAAAAAGGTCATATCTGGAAACGTGAGTGAGTGAGTATGGTTTTACGCTGCTTTTAGCAATAATCCAGCAATATCACGGCGGGGGACACCAGAAATGGGCTTCACACATTGTACCCATGTCGGGAATCGAACCCGGGTCTTCGGCGTTCTAGTAACGGGATTTTTGGAAGTTTACAATCATAAAATGTCAAGATCAGAGTATATTCAGTCTCGATTATCTCTCGAAAAATATTACATTTGGCGTTAAAGGCAAAGTAGTGGTGGAAATTATATGGATCGATAAGTAGACGCCACTCATGTGCGACGAGCGATCTCCTTTCACAGACGCACGCATTGCTTTGTCAGGACGGGTACGAATATTTGCAAACTGTTCATGGTTACTAAAGAATCAATTCATCGATATTTAATTTAATTTAAGATTGACCATGGAGTTCCTTAAAATCCAACCCGGTCCTCATTTCAGTTTTACCCACCTCAAAACACGTCCAACTCGTTAAATGTTCCTCCAGTTGCGTAAACCGTTATGGTGACTATAAGCTGTTGTTCTTGTAGTTGATTCTGAGTCAGGAATTCATTCGTCATTCTCAATATGCATTTTAGACAGGTACAACTGACGCAGCTGTAGGTCATTATGCAAAGTTATGGAGTCATTATGTATCAACCACAACATGGTTTATGCCAGAGAAATCACTAGAATCTGTTAATTCCGGAAGAAGGCGTGATGTTTCCATTACTTCATCAGAAACAGGCTCCATTCAACACATCGATCTCAGAGCTGTTATTAATCTATGATAGAGTATTGGTGCCCGGATAGTCGTAAAATTAAGAGTGAGTGGGTGAGTATGGTTTTGCGCCGATTTTAGCAATCTTCCAGCAATATCACGGCGGGGGACACCAGAAATGGGGCTCATGTCGGGAATCGAACCCGGGTCTTCGGCGTGACTAGCGAACGCTTGGCTACCCGACCGCCGGCGTGACATTAAGAACCTTCGGGGAACGGAGCCATGGTAGTCATGTTTTCTTTTTATATTTTCAGCCTCTCACTACATAGGCAGTGGCTGTACCAATGATGTCGACTGTCATGTGGCGACCTCTGTGTGCAATGATGGAGTGTGTACCTGTCAGATTGGGTACTGGTTTTCCCCCTCACAAAAGGCCTGTGTCACAGGTACTTAGAGCCTTTTTAATCACATTTGAGCACATTCGCAGGGTTGGAACTCTTCCATTTCACACATTTGTATGATCGCACATTTTCACTCCCAACACCCTCACATCACATACATCACTCTCACATCACACCAAACGCCCTGAATTTGCACCGAACATCATCATATTCAACACCATCAAAACAAACAAAACATCTTCTACATCACACGCAACACCCTAATATCATAACACCCAACACCTCACATCATAACAACCACCGCCTCCGTGGTCTAGTGGTAGAGCGTCCGCCCGGAGAGCGGAAGGTTCGGGGCTCGATGCCAGGCCGCGTCATGCCAAAAGACTCTTAAGGTTAGTACTTGTTGTTACCCTGTCTGGCGCTCGGCATCAAGGGTCTAAAACAAGGACTTATCGACACGGATTCGGATATACTGTGTCTGAGTGGGGTATTCATGTTAAACTGTGGCATGGTATCTCAGACGCACGCACGCACGCACGCACATCGCTAAATAAGTGCAATAATCTTAAACGCGACGTTAAACCCTATTTCACCTCACCTTATAAAGCCCAACACACATACATCATCACACCCAATTTGCAACACACTCACACCATAACACTGACACCTCACATGACTCACCCAATACTCTCAAATCTCACCCTTGCTTTCTCTCGTTACAATACGTGCCCAGTCTCCGAATGATTTACCCTGGGTCTAAGTTTGACGTTTAAGTTGAGAGATTCAATCTCATTAAAAGCAGATCGAAGTTCTCGCTACCGTTAAACAAAGATCTGAGGACATCCCATTGAGGGTCACGTCAGAACGACCTTTCATCTGACCAATCAGAGCATTGCTTATCAGATCATGAAAGTGACAGTTGGAATGTTATTTTTGATCGTGCAACACACAGGGTATTCCGAACGACAGTTATGGGCTTCATGTCTGTATTCATACAATCTAGACCATCTATTAGCCATTCCAGAATGTTTTTTTGTTCAGTTGTTATATTTTTAATCGAGTTTGAAACTCATGCCGTAAAACTCGATTAAGCTGCCTTCTGATTGGCTATTGTCGACTTCTTGTAAGTCATTCCATTGGACGGTCAAAGTTCGCGAAAGGTCGCTCTGACGTGACCCGTGATGGGATGTCCTCATATCTTTGTTTAGCAGTAGCGAGAACTAAGATCTGATTTAATGGGATTGAGCGATTTAGCTCCAATTATGCTTAGTTAATGGACCATGTTAAGAATAGAATGTTAGAAAGAATACAGTGTTTAGTCGTTGTACCGCGTGCAATCAATAAATAGGTATTAAATTTTTAACAGAGCCATACATAGTTACAAACCAGCCGCTATATATTCGTCCGCCGAGTCCAAGTTTCCCTCAGTGTACGAAAATAATGAACCCGATAGGTTTGTTAAACACACAGAAGATGTATGATTATTACTTTCAAGTTAAAAGGATTTGCAGGATTTAAACACCTCCCGCTTGCCTGGATATTGATATGGTTTAACCAATTACTTATTCACCAACTGATGACGCCTAAATTAGTACAAAAGATTCGACCATGGCAGCCATCTTGAAAAGCTTGAATTTGGACATTATTCGGCCATTTCAGCCAAAATATCATGAAATGCGGTACCTGTACATGTACAGATAGTATGCACGTACACGTATGCTGCGTTTTTCGCGATATTATTTATTTGGACCGCTGTTGACCTTTGAGTGTCTTAAATCCTCACATGCATAGATGGTTCTGTAAACAGACAGACAGACAGACAGTTTTTTCAGTAATTTGTGCATCAAGGCCCATAGTACAATGCAGATTGGATATCAATTTGTCACGTGATGTACATGATGAGATTTTAAATCAAGTTAAACACTCTTCATTATAAAGACATGTTTTAAGAATACAGAAACAGCATGGCTCATATCAGAATTTTCAGAGTTTAGCAGATTTATCATTTACTGGCGGTCTTTAAAAATACCTTGCAACATGGGGAGAAATTTGTACCTTAAATGGGAATACGTTTCACATATATAAGTAAGACATGGTATTCATCCTCTACTTCTCCGGATGAACAGTTTGTACAAATAGAGTTTACAATATCACCGTCTTTGGACCTGCGACATATATTTACATTAAAATTAGGCAATGAAATTTAAGTTTTACAATAAGGTCTGATTAAACTTTTATTATTGAAACAAGTTAAATATCTTTCAGTTTGTAACAATGATTTTACTTTGCTGTAATTGCTAAGATAAAGTGATTCAGAAATACTTTGGTGCCACTGTTGACAAAATATATCCTTCAGTCATTGATGGTTCTGTAAACATTTCTACTGAAAGGTTGTCGGTAGAAAAGGGCTGATCTGTGCAGGCGTTGTTCAGGGCCAACTTGCACAAAGCAATCTTAGCGCTAAGATTATTGTAAGCCTATGTTAAAGTATGGGCGTTACGATCATCTTAGCCCTTAGATCGCTTTGTGCAAGTGGGCCCAGATCAATAGGATGAAGTGTTGGGTTGTTGAGCGATCGTCTTTGATTGCATTTTTAACTGCAGCTTAAAACACCAGGTGAACTACAGTATCATGAAATTATTTTCGATTTACGGATTCGACCGACAGGTGCAAGAATTTACGAACAGAAAGTGGTATATAACAATATATATTAAATTAATCTGCTGAATCTTCACACATTTACCAAAGGTTATTGTCAAATACATTGTTTATCGTGAGGTAAGAATCGGTGCCCAAGATTCAATTGCTTCTCCGAAGGAAGGACTACATTAGATCTGCAGTGGCGTTCATGATACATGGAGAACTATCGTACCCCAACTTCGTGGCACATTGCTCATAATATCAATCACTAGTTTGTCTGTCCGAGACTAACCCGTCAATTATCTGAAATATTACGAACTGCCCAAATCGTGAAACTAACAATAGAACATTATCAAGTAAAATACATATTTCTACTGTTTTCGGTGTATTAATACTTAAACAGCCACACAGAACATGCCTTTTCTTTTTCCCACAAATCCGATCGACGCATAACAGTTTAGGCAAATGTTTAAAAAAAAAGACAGAATATTTTTTTTAGGTTTAATATCGTCCAACCCAAGCTAACTGAATTGTAAAATATCCGACAACCATAAAGGGTAGAAATATGTTGCTGTTACAAATACAGTAAACTACGGTTATAACGAACACGCTTATAACGAACTTTAGTCCCGACTATTTGCTGTGGTGATGCTGTATATATGCTAAAATATAACGAACTACGGTTAAAACGAACGAGTTCCTTTGAGTTCGTTATAACCGTAGTTTACTGTATGTCATTTTTACCGTTAATCTGACCTTGGTTATAATGCTCGGTATTCATTTGTGTACCAATAGGATATCATGCTGATCAGTTTAAGGATTGACTATGTTTTATTCCCAGTGCTATGAGTAGTATAACTGGTCGAGGGCAAATACGAGTGACCCAGTGTGGATAATAGCTTTTTATTGATAAATTCTGTACCGCTTTTGTCTTTCGATACATCACTCAAAAACCGGACACGGGTTTCCTAGGATCAATGATGAAACAAAAGCGGAAAACATGTACAGAACATGTGGCCTGAATGTATCGGTGCAACGGTGCAGCGGAGCGTGACACGTGTTTTCATTGCCTGATATGAGGACTTGATTGCAGCGTCTGTCTATTATATAATCTTGTAATGTATCTACTATAGAGTCAGACCGCCTCCGTGGTCTAGCGGTGGCGCGTCCGCCCGGAGAGCGGAAGGTCCGGGGTTTGATCCTCGGCCGCTGCTTACAAAAAGCCGTTAAAAGATGGCACTTGTTGTTACCATGTCTGAGTAAAAAAGATGAGCGTTCAGGCGAGCATTTGGTAAATGTTTTCGATCTAACGTCACATCCACCTAAAGAAATATGAGAAATAACTCTACAACACATAGTGGAACCCTCACCATACTGACTGAGATGAGCCCATGGGGACTGCATTGCCATACAATGATCTTCTTCAGGGTAGTGAAAATTATATGTATGGAATACTGAAATCACTTCAACACATGTTTCACTGTGTAGATGTTCCCTTATTTCTGTCCACCGTTATATTTACTTCCTTGGTAGTCTATAACGCTAGTAAGATTCCCAGATTCGTCATCTATTCAGGACCCATGAAGATCCGGGGTAGAATAGATCTTCAGCAAACTATGTTTGCCGTAAAAGGCGACTATGCTTGTCGTAAGAGGCGACTAACGTGATCTGGTGGTCAGGCTCGCTGACTTGGTTGATGCATGTCATCGGTCCCAATTGCGTGGATCGATGCTCATGATGTCAATCACTGGATTGTCTGGTCCAGACTCGATTATTTACAGACCGCCGTCATATAGCTGGACTATTGCCGAGTGCGGCGTTAAACAACAAACAAACCAACCAACCAATCAACTATTTAGAGGGTTTCACAATTACTTTAGCACTTCAAAAGAATTGACGGATGATCAAACATCAATGTCCATGAATTATCCATACACCTGTCCTATCCTTGTGCATCACTTTGAATCATAAAATATTTATCGATGAATGTAGTGAAAGTATTTTTCTGTCCATCGATACATTTATGTTTTTGTTCTTCACAGAATGCACTACCTTAGGACCTGGTCTTGTCCGCTATGCCGGTCACGCCATCTGGGGCAATGACTTGGAGGATCTTACATCAATTGAAGACAGCCAATGCCAACAGCTCTGTATCAACATCACCTGCTCCAGCGTCGACTACGACCCGCCTGGCAAGCGTTGTTTCCTATCTTCAGCCACGTACCTCTCCGTGGGTTCAGGATCTCGTGGGGTGCACGCCGGCTGGGTGCACTATCAACGTAACTGTGCGTCGTAGACCTTGTGTACGAAAGAAATCACAAACGGAACACGATTATACAGTTAGTTATAACCTAAAAACATACATTAACTTGTTGCTGACTGAAGTATTAGATGCGTTGTTCTGATTACAAACAGAACAGAACACTCTGGATACATATAGTGAATGACGAAAACTTGTTTGAACTCCAGATTAGACAGACCTTGGTTTATTAGAAAGGATTGGTTGGTTGGTTGGTTGCTTTGTTGTTGAACGCCGCACTCAGCAATATTCCAGCTATATGACGGCGGTCTGTAACTAATCGATCCAGTGATTAATATCATGAGCATCGATCCACGGAATTGGGATCGATGACATGCATCAACCAAGTCAGTGAGCCTGACCACCCGATCCCGTTAGTCGCCTTTTACGACAAGCATAGTCGCCTTTTACGGACTGCATGGGTCTTATTAGAAAGGAAATAGCATCACGAATAAATAACAATACGGAGGTAATGAACACACCCGGGATTCGAACCCACACTTTTAGACTGTGACAAAACCAACTCGAGGCATTCGAGCCATGGAAGTCCAACAACTAGCAGTCCAGATCGCGTACAGTAAACTACGGGATTCGAACCCACACTTTTAGACTGTGACAAAACCAACTCGAGGCATTCGAGCCATGGAAGTCCAACAACTAGCAGTCCAGATCGCGTACAGTAAACTACGGTTATAACGAACACGCTTATAACGAACTGACGGATATAACGAACTTACTTTTTGGTCCCGACTACTTGCTGTAGTCATGCTGTATATGTACTTATAACGAACTACGGTTATAACGAACTAAAATAAGTAGTCCCTTTGAGTTCGTTATAACCGTAGTTTACTGTACTTTGTTTTTCCCCTTACATCAAGCTGACACGCCGTGATGTAACTGGAATATCGTTCCAAACGGCTTTAAACCCTCACTCCCTTACAAACTCTTTTTGCACATGACTTTGGATATGTATGGTTTATCCTTCAGTCTCGGCTATTTCAGGCAATTCTGAGCAAAATGAAGTTGGTTGGTTGGTTTGTTGTTTAATGCCGCACTCAGCAATATTCCAGCTATATGACGGCGGTCTGTAAACAATCGAGTCTGGACCAGACAATCCAGTGATTAACAACACGCGAATCGATCCACGCAATTGGGATCGATGACCAAATCAGCGAGCCTGACCACCCGATCCCTTACGACAAGCATAGTCGCTTTTTATGGTTGTCGTCACTTTTCCTTATATTTTGAAAGCATCACTGAAATATCAAGGCAAAGGTGCCGATAAGAAATAATATCCTTTAAGGAAGCTCTTCAGTTCTTTTCACGGATGTCAACTAGACCCCAAAACAACTAATAATATGAGCGCATCATTGAAATTTGCGTGCATTGATATCTGGTGTTGCATCCTGACCTAATAAAACACAATCGCTTACACATTCCCAAGTAGAGATTTGATTTCTTTCGGTTATGTTTCAATATCGATCTCTGCGGCGGTAAGCTAAGTAGAAACTCGTACGTATCGATCAATACTTCATTAAACGAAGACTAAATCAGCACACAAGTTGTTAATTAATTGCTTTATCGATTTCATGTTTTGTTGAAATGTAGAATTACATGTTCAGAAATGCATTATAAGAACTAAAGGTGTTTTTTAAGATATATTTCTCCTCAGTTTATTTCTCTCCTCTTACAAAACTTTGTCTTCTTCTTGTTCACGTTAATTAAAAAAAATTAAAGAGATCTTTCAAGTAGGACCCGGATTCCGAATATGTGTTTCCAAAAGTCAAAGTACCCATCCGCATACCAGAGGTGAGGTGAGGTGAAATGGGGTTTAACGTCGCGTCCAAGATTATTGCACTTATATAGCGACGTGCATGTACGTGTGTGTGTTTGTGTGGCTGCTTGTACTATTCCGGACTGATGCCGATTTATAGTGCTAGCCCACTGAGATACCATGCCGCAGTTTAACATGAATACCCCACTCAGACACAGTATACTGACTCCGAGCCGACCAGTCCTTGTTTTAGCCCCTTAATGCCGAGCGCCAGACAGGGTAACAACAAGTACCATCTTTTAACGCCTTTGGGATCGAACCCCGGGCCTTCCGCTCTCCGGGCCGACGCTCTACCACTAGGCCACGGAGGCGGTCTCCGCATACCAGAACCAGTTTGAGGGGAGTGAGTGTATATAGTCTGAGACTGGTTACTGGTGTATGGCAAACACAACAATACTCAACTCAGTAAATATGGACACTGTTTTATACAGTTTTATGAGCACGTTATGACATTGTGTTTTATATAAAATGATGGCTGATCAGTAGAAGAGATACAACAGTTTTGTTTGTATGTTGCGTAACGCCGAACTAATCAATATTCAAGCTGTATGATGCGGCCTGTAATTAATCAAATCAGGACCTGACAATGCAGTGCTTGATGCTATGCGGTACAATCCACACCGTCGGGGTACCGCGACACGTAATCAACAAGTCATCGAGTACGACCTCCCGGAAGCCGAGGTACTGTAAGTCCCATGATCCCGAGCGATGTGGCCTAGCTTTGGTTACTGTTGGCCTATGGCCCGTGTTTTAAATCTGTATACAGTTATATTGTTATGCTCAAATATGTTTCATAAATTGTTTTTAAATAGAGTATGCTCAAATACGTTTCACAACTTGTTTTTAAATTTAACTTTGCATAAATAATTAAATTGTTAATATATGAACTTGGTCTCGTCGCTATATCGCTGAAATAATGCCGATGCGACGTTAACATTTAACTCACTCACTCACTCACTGCATGTATTTTTATTTTGTAATAACTGTCATGTTCTTGCTTTATTATAATTATTTTTTATGTTGCATGTTTTCAAACAACAAATTATTTAAATGCATATAAAGATTTTCTGAAATAATTGTTGAATTATTTACAAAGGTTTTTTTAATTTTTTGGTTTGATCATTTGATGAAAATAAAGGATCTTGCACATTGTGATAGTGGTATTTATGTTTGTATAATATATGCAATTCAACATCAAATCAACAAAACAAAAAACATACTCATACTCAAATGAAGGGCAGGTTGCAATTGCAAAAGCCAAACTAACTCCATTTCTGAAAGATGGTCAGCTTCTCAAACGCAATATAAGAGAGGACTAAACGAAATTCTATCATTTTCTAAAAAAGAAATAAAACCATGTCAATGCCAAAATAGAAATGTTATCAATACAAACACATAAATGTTATCAATACTGAAAATCGCAATAGATATGTGTACGCTATTCACACATATGAGATCCCAAAACGGGCAGGTCGGGTGAAATTGCTAATGCAGAAGGTGACATCTAAAACACCAGAAGCAACTACAACAACCCTCAGGGATAAACCCAAACGGATCGTACGGCATCGTTGCTGACCCCGAGTTGCTGTGCAGACAGAAGTTAAGTTATCTGGTTTTGTGGAAGTAGCTGTAAAAAATATATAATCTCGACTCCCAGCCCCCACCACCCAGAATACCAATGGTCGGTCTTTTTATGCGTTAGCTTGGTTTTTGACATCAATAAAACAAAAACAAAACATTGGCTGCATGTTTGACTCAGCTACAAGTGGTTTGTTGTTTAACGCCGCCCTCAGCAATATTCCAGTTATATGACGGCGGTCTGTAAATAATCGAGTCTGGACCAGACAGTCGAGGATTGATTTCATGAACGTCAATCCACTCAATTGGGATCGATGACATGCATCAACCAAGGCAGCGAGCCTGACCACCCGATCCCGTTGGTCGCCTCTTACGACAAGCATAGTCGCGTTTTACGGCAAGCATTGGTTGTTGAAGACCTATTCTACCCCGCATGGATTTCTTTAACTATAAGTTGGTGCAATCAGTCTGTCTTTTTATTTATGTTTCTACTTCACGTGTGTGCATAACGGCTCGCCCAAACCTTTTGGACAAGTACGAGTCGGCTCCTCTGTTGGTGAGGCGTAATCAATAGTCAGTCTTTTTTTTCTTTTCTTTTTTTCGAACCCACAATCATAGGTTTCCCAAGGGACGCAACTATGCACAGTGAATTGCGGCGCCTTACACGACTGGGCCACCCGTGCCCCCGACAGACATATAGACATATTGAAGATTGAGTTAAACTATGTGCAGTGGAATGATTCACATGAACAAGATACGTCACTGAATGGAATGTTTGTATTTGCAGATACCGACGCAATTATATTCCTCCCGGGTTATTTCTTTACGCACATTGTACAACCGGCATTTCCGAGCATTAATAATGCAGGCCTACATTGCAAACAAATTCACAGTGAAGGATTTCATGGTATACCGATTGACTCCTCCGCATATAGTTCGTAAAATGTAGCGGCCGAGTTTGAGAAAATGTTTTCGTTGTGGTTAACAGAAATTATGTGTATATTACAGTAAAAGCGGTCAATGTATAATGTGATTCACTTAAGCTATTTATAAAGTGCCTAAATATTTGAATCATTTTACAAACTGACTGAAACAAATGTCCAAAATTTAAAAGGGATTCAAAACACGATAATAGACTCATCATACCAAGATTAGAAGCTAGAAAATAAAGAAATATACATTGACTTTCGTTTTCTTTCAGTCCTATCGTTTTCAGTCAGTCGCTGATGAAAATACACGTCAAAATGTTTGGAATTCATTATCATAAAGTAAAGAAAATGGACATTTGCAGTCAATTTGTACAATATCTGACATATTTACACGTTTTGTAAATTGCCTAAGTGAAAATTTCAATCATCTTACGCATTAACTGTAACATATCGATCAAGGGTCACGCCTGAGTCGTTTAGTATACTGTCAGAGTAGGGTGACCTGGTGAATCCGGTTCCCATGGAAATTCTTCAGAATAACGGCGCGATGACATTTGTTTAAGAATGAATCGTGAATGGGCTTCAAATGTCACTTCAGCAACTCTAATTAACTTAACGGATCTTCTTGAGGCTCAAACACCATGTCCAATCGTATGCGTCTGTTCCAGACAAACAGTTTTTATTTTTTGAAGGCATGTGTTTTATCTGTGAACACATTGATCGCACAATCTATATGATATGGAGTTAAGACTTAACGTCACATCGGCAATAGTTCAGCCATATCGTGACAAGACATTTACATATCAAGAGTACATTTAGAGTTTATGGCAACCTGTCTACAATGGACAGTAAAACAACTACAGTATCACAGATGTGTATTTAAAACTAGCTTGTATTCTTACAATATGACTACTCATAACAATACATCATAGAAAGGGGCTAGAGATCACCAGCAACCAACTAAAGTCTGGCCATCATACTAGGGACCATGGGGACTTTGGTACTTCTGCTCCCTACATGGTACCCCAGCAGGATTTACACCATCCCTTGACCCGTGAAGATCCGGGGTAGAATAGGTCTTCAGCGACCCATGCTTGCCATAAAAGGCGGCTAAGGGGGATCGGGTGGTCAGGATCGCTGACTTGGAAGATGCATGTCATCGATCCCAATTGCCTGGATCGATGCTCATGATGTCAATCACTGGATTGTCTGGTCCAGACTCGATTATTTACAGACCGCCGTCATATAGCTGGAATATTGCCGAGTGCGGCGTTAAACAACAAACCACCCAACCAACTACACCATCCCTATGGCTGGCTATTGACGAGTGTCATGTAGTTAAACCAAACAGTTAAAATCGACTAAAATACCACAATTAAAATCCCAGAGAAATGAAAATGCTGTCAATAATATGGGACAATTGTTTAACGTTACTTCAACGCCTTTGAAGGTACAGCCACTAACGATTTCAGTTACAAATTCAATCTACCAAATTAAAAGTCATCTACTTTTATAGACAATATATATTTTGTCATCAAAAACTAACAAATCAATTTCTTGAAAAGAGACACAATAATTCATGAACTTTTATTAAAAAGATCCTTGATTGATGAAACCTTGAAATAGTTATCCCTTGTGATGGCAAAATGTGCACAGTCAAGCAGGACATGCTTGACTGCGAGTCACTTATGACAAGGGATATAAAATGGAGGATCCTCACCTTTCGAATGGCCAATACGACATCGTCGCATAATGACGTCTTCAAATTTGGACTGACAACCCAAGTGATTGTAACTGATAGTTTTTAGAGCATGTAATTTGTTAATATCAACTTTTATGTCCTATTCCATCTGTATTAGGTCTCTTATTGCAGGTTTATAATAACTGATGCTGTTGTAACCATTTTAATTGTTTTAACTACAGAAGCATATAGATGTCCTATTGTGTTAGCATATGCAACTAAGTTTGCTTGTTTCCTGGCATCGGAATAGCTGGTATTTTGCTCATACTTAATTCTTAGTACAAGGGACTGAAGTATATATACACTGTTGTCACTTGAAGATGACATATTCACAGGGTCACGGGGTCACGGGTGGCCCAGTCGTCTAAGGCGCCGCGATACGCTGTGCAGAGTTGCGTCCCTTGAGCACGCCAGAAACCTATGATTGTGGGTTCGAATCACGGTTCGCCCCGATTTTGTTTCTAGGTTTGTCAGCACCATACCCGTGCTCGTGGAATACTATTAGAAGCGGCGTTAAACCCAACTCACTCACTCATATGACTCATATGACCACCTTGACAGTTGGAGCACTTCAGAGGCTGAGTGTTACCGTCATGATCAATTTCACCACGTCTGGAGGCCTTGAAGTAACCTTACGTGTACATGAATTCTGAATTCCAAATTTCTGACATTTAAAACAACGAGTAGGTCCTGGGGTGTAGAGGTCCATAGGCACAGAGAAACAACCAACTTTATAAGAACTGGGTAGAGCAAAGATATGTGTTGGATGGTAAACACACAGGCTTCTGTGGGATATGTAAATCGTTCGGCTTCAGTGACACCT